CCCGGGCCGCGCGGGGGGGGGGGCGCCCCCCCCCCCCCCCCTTGAGACGAAAAAGGCCTGAAGGGGGGTACAGGAAAAAATATTTTCGCGTGATAAAAAATTTTTTGTGCCATGGCGGGCCCCCCCCCCCTTACGAAGTTGGGCCCCCCCCCCCCTTGAAAAATTTCTGCGTACGCCACTGACCACATCCCACACTCACACGATAATCTATGTTAATATAATTATCGACTGTGTACATGAATCTCATTCATTGTTTAGGGTGCCAACCATTGTTTTTTTTGTTGAATGTAACTTTCATCTGCAACATGAACATGAGTAAATAGAAAGAAAAAAGAAAATTTGACACAGGTGCGCTCGTGACATTAAAAAGAGTACACAAAACAGTTCCTCTTTCTATCGTCATATAGGCACAAATGAAAATTGATTATTGCTGCATGCCATGAAAAACGAAACATCACAAGACAAAGAAGTTAACCATGAAGATCTTTTGTGTCCAATCACACATGAAATTTATCGAGATCCAGTTAAAGCGGCTGATGGCTTTGTTTATGAGCGTGCTGCAATCACAAGATGGATCCTTCAGAAAGGTACAAGTCCATTTACTCGACAACCATTAAAAATTGATGAACTGAAACCCGATGATAAACTTAGGCATCTCGCTCGTCGTCGACGACATTCAATAGTCAGCTATGATGCACATAACAGCACTATTTCTCTACCACCTCTTCGACGAGTACCCAGATCTGTTTCCCAAGTCGCTCCAATAACAACTCTCGTTCATACATATAGAGCCACAGTCATATCGAAAATGCTCATCTTTCGAATCGTATTGGTTATTATTGCTATTAGTATTACCATTGGTCCAATAGTTGGAATGACTCTAGGTATGTAGCCATAGTTTCAGTACTTATAAAGTTAAGTTATTAGTTACAGTCACAGAATAGTGAACCATATATCTATGGATGAATTGTAAAGAACTAATGCTATGTTTGCTTTGGAACAATTAGGTTCAATTAAATACGATAAAATCGTATTTTTACCCGTTAAAATGTGTTCTTTTTACGCATTCAAAAAACTTATTTTTGTTTTTGAAAAAGGAAGCGAGTCTAAAAACAATGATGTCCACAAGTTTGCTTTTTTTAAAAATAAAAATCGTTTTTTTGTCGATTTAAAGCGTCAAAAGCACAAATTTTAACACATAACAATATGCTTGTATCTAACTGAGTACCTACAACAGTGAAGTGATCATGGACTAAACCCCCCCCCCCCCCCCCCCCCCCCCCCCCCCCGCCGACCACAACAATCCCCCGCCCAACTCCTATTTTTTCTTACTCTCCTCCCTCGTCCATCGCT